AAGGTTCTGAGTGGTTCTGGTGTTGGCAGCTAATCGTGGTCCATCCAGCAGCTGTTGGATCTGACTGTAGCTGAAAGGTTTTCCGGGCAGGAAGCAGCTCGCTGTGACGTCGGGTTCTGCAGCTCCGGGTCGGCCCGTCGTTCAGAAGGGAGCGAACCGAAGCGTGCTTCTGCTTCAGACGTCAGTTTTCTGCTGCTCCGGTCTCTTTGGGTTATTTTGTATTTTAACCTGTTTGTCTGTGAGGTCTGCCTCAGGGTAGCTCTGCTCCTCGGTCCCGTCGTTTCAGGATGACACGTTTGTTTCACCCCTCGACGAGTTTTTCAGGTTTTCTTTCAGACGATACGAGCCGGTGGTTCGTCGCCGGGATCCCAGCTGAAATGTTCAGCAGGTTTTAAAACCAGTCTGCCTCTCAGCTGCTCCTCCGTCACTCACCGCCCGTCTGCCGGTCGACTCCACCCTGATCTCATCTCGTGTTTCATGAGCTGCTGATGTTTGATACTAAATTTACTTCTTGGTTTCCACAATGTGGTTCTGGTGCCACGGTTTGAGAACCACGAGCGTGATGCTTTGTGGGGGGAACCACACAGCTTTAACCACTGCTCCACCATGCCACCCATATATTCAAACAGACTTTAACCTGAACAGGTGGCCAGTGAGAAGACCCTGAAACAGGATTCATGTGGGTTCTGTTGGCCCCAGTTCAGAGTCCAGCAGCAGAGTTTTGGACCTGTTGAAGATCATGGAGGGTTGTTTCATTAAAACATGTCAAAAGTGAATTTCAGTAATTAAACGAGAAGACTAATACCGAGGTCCCACGTAGAGTCCATGTCCTGCCTGGAGGTCATGACTTCTGGAGATCATCAAGATGACGATGGACCGAGAAAAAATAAAAGCACGAGTAGAAATCTCAAGTTCATGTTTTGACACCAGGCATCTTAATTTTAAAATATTTCTCAGGCGTTAGAAACTGTTTTGGACCAACTGTTTGGGAGGAGAGACATCAAGTTCTTCAGGTTCCACTCGAAAGATGAATTTAATCCATTTGTTGTTTGAATAGTAGAACCACAAGTAATCAAATAAATCCGTTTCATCAGAGTTTAACTGAAGGATGTCGTCTTTTAACCAATTAACATCATTTTTTACAAACACTCGAGTAATCCTGACAATTAAATAAAAACTCAGTCATCTAAAAACGGTGACATGTTTCTAAATCAAAAACAAATCTGTCCAAGCGAATGATTAGCAGTGAGAACAACATGGGTCCAAAAACAGAACCCTGGGGCACCCCACATGACAGATGGTGTCAGATAGACACTGAAGGTTCTGTCAGAGAAGCGGTCTAGAACAGTGTCTGAGATCTCCAGGTCAGATAGTCTCTTTATTTTGTCCTGCCTCATCTGCTGACGGGACCAAAAGAGTCCAGTCTCCAGAGTCTTCAGGGCCGTCTCAGACCAGGTCTGTTCTGATGGATAAAGGAGTGAATCTGAGCACACGTGAGTCGGTCTTAAATGATCTTAGAGCTGCCTCTCCTGACGCAGACGTTAAAGCTGTCATTTGACCCTCGTGCTGTTGTGATCAGAGAAACTCTGACAGGAAGTGGCTCGCTGCAGAGGTCGTTTGTTCCTCGTGAGTTCTGGTGTTTCAGGACCCACTCCAGTCTCCGTTTGGACCCCGCAGGAACACTGAGTCTGTTTGTGGAACATGTGGAAGGATCATTTGGCTGCTGGGTGTTTCTGCATTCCTGACGTTGTTTGGCAGGGCGGTTCTGACCCAGAGTGAGTCAAGATGGGTGGGTGTACCAGTTGGACCAGTCAGCGCTCTCTGGCTGGATTTATCTGAACCAGCAGGGCGGGGCCCGCGATGAAGGATCCCACAAAGACATGGCTCAGGTATTAGTGGGCGGGGCCAGATGACAGGACTTGGCAGATGGCAGGACTTGGGACTCGGTGGGTTTTTGTTCCTGTTTCAAAAGGAGCAGAACCAGACCGGGTTTGGACTGTGTTGCATTCAGTGCACATCAAACGTGGGAAATCCAGACTTTCAAGTTTTTAAGTTTTTGTGTGGAAAAAATAGTTTAGATCAAAGTGGAACAAACCTTCAGTTCAGATTTGTGTTAAAATCAGAAATGTTTCGCAGCACGAACACAACTCTGAGTCAGTTTTTATTTTTATTTCTATCTGTGAGTCAGAACCTGGAAAAAACACAAAGAATAGAAAAAAGGAAACTGCTCGAGTTTCACTCTGACTCACTTTGTTTCAGCAGCTTCCTCTGGTGTCAAATCTAAACCAGAGCAGCTCGAATGAAAACAACTAAATAATCCAGAGCAGCTAGAATGAAAACGGCTAAATAATCCAGAGCAGCTAGAATGAAAACGGCTAAATAATCCAGAGCAACTCGAATGAAAACTGTGAATAATCCAGAGCAGCTTGAATGAAAACGGTTAATAATCCAGAGCAGCTCGAATGAAAACGGCTAAATAATCCAGAGCAGCTCAAATCAAAACGACTGAATACTCCAGAAATGAAAATGGCTCAATAATCCAGAGCAGCTCAAATGAAAACGGCTAAATAATCCAGAACAGATCAAATTAAAACAGCAAAATAATCCAGAGCAACTCGAGCAAAAAGAAAAAAAACAACCAGAGTATCTCGAATGAAATAATTGAAATAGAGATCAGCTCGAATTAAAACAACTAAATAACCCAGAGCAGCTCGAATGAAAACAACTAAATAATCCAGAGCAGCTAGAATGAAAACGGTTAATAATCCAGAGCAGCTAGAATGAAAATGGCTAAATAATCCAGAGCAACTCGAATGAAAACTGTGAATAATCCAGAGCAGCTTGAATGAAAACGGTTAATAATCCAGAGCAGCTCGAATGAAAATGGCTAAGTAATCCAGAGCAGCTCAAATCAAAACGACTGAATACTCCAGAAATGAAAATGGCTCAATAATCCAGAGCAGCTCAAATGAAAACGGCAAAATAATCCAGAACAGATCAAATTAAAACAGCAAAATAATCCAGAGCAACTCGAATGAAATAATTGAAATGGAGATCAGCTCGAATTAAAACAACTAAATAATCCAGAGCAGCTAGAATGAAAATGGTTAATAATCCAGAGCAGCTCGAATGAAAACGGCTAAATAATCCAGAGCAGCTTGAATGAAAACTGTGAATAACCCAGAGCAGCTTGAATGAAAACGTTTAATAATCCAGAGCAGCTTGAATGAAAACGGTTAATAATCCAGAGCAGCTCAAATGAAAACGGCTAAATAATCCAGAGCAGCTCAAATCAAAACGACTGAATACTCCAGAAATTAAAATGGCTCAATAATCCAGAGCAGCTCAAATGAAAACGGCAAAACAATCCAGAACAGATCAAATTAAAACAGCAAAATAATCCAGAGCAACTCGAGCAAAAAGAAAAAAACAACCCAGAGCATCTCGAATGAAATAATTGAAATGGAGATCAGCTTGAATGAAAACAACTAAATAATCCAGAGCAGCTCGAATGAAAACAACT